TCTAGTAAAAATAGTTTCGTACCATCAAAACAATTGTGCGTGAAATTTTAAATAGATATTCCCACATTGTAAAAGAAGAGTTTGTGAATTATTTTCCAAAAAAATTATGTAATGTTAAAAATGTACTTTTAGTTTAAAAAATGTTTATTACCAAGAAAATGTTTGAACGTGTATTTGAAAAACTACTGATCATGTATTCAAAAAAGTGTTTAAAGCATGCACTCCCTCGGATCCAAATTAATTGATGCAAATTTAGTATAACTTTGTACTAATGCTGCATCAGTTAATTTCAATCAGAGGGATTATTTAAAAAAATGTACATGTTGTATTTGAAAAATGTTGAACGTGTATAATAAAAATGTTTTATGTTCACACAAAAAAAATATATTGTGTACTAAAAAAGTAGCCATGTGTCTTAAGAACAGAATAAAAACCAACAAACAAAGGTTAAGAACCAAGTAAAAACGAAGAAAGAAACAAAGAAAACAAACGTATAACAAAGATTGAGAAAAACTAAAAACATGGAAAAACAAATAAAACTGAATTTTAAAAGAACAAAAGAAAATGGTAAAGAAATAAAAAAACAAGAAAAAACGAAACAAAAAAGAAGCGGCAAAATCAAGAAAACCTGATCCAAACAGTGAAAACTGGACTAGGGATGGCAATGGGTAGGGTATGGGCGGGTACGACCCTTTTCTACCCAAACCCATACCCAAATCTTTTTTCTGTACCCACCCACTTCTATATCCATGGGTATAAATTGGTACCCATGCCCATACCCATCGGGTATCCTATACTCAATGGGTATCCGGCGGGTACAATATATAGCATTGACATGACAAAAGTAAGATGAGAAAAGGGTCTTAATTTAGGTACCCATCCATAACAATCAGGTTTGCACTTACATCAAAAATTCACAATGACAACTGACACACAATTAAAGGTCTTAATCAATGGTCCATGGGCTAGTTAAGAACTTAAGATACTACCTCTCTCTCAGTTTACATGGGCGTGTGCGTACCCCTAGGTCGTCAATTTGACCAATCTAATACAAGTCATATATTACAAAAAATATACCAACATAAACTTTGGAGTTTCTACTTTCAAAAGGTATAATTTTTGTGTTATATAGTTTATATTAGGGTGATAAAATTGGTAACCTAGGTATACGCGCAGGACTTGTAAACTGAAACGGAGGTAGTAATTATTTATCTGCATATTATAGGGTTTTATTTATTTATTTATTTTCTGGGTATCCATTGGGTTACCCATGGATATAATTTCATACCCATACCCTACCCATGCATTTTGTGGGTATGGATACCCATACTCATGGGTATGATGTGGTAGAAAGTCTCACCCATACCCACTATTTTCGGGTAGGGTACCCGCGGGTACCCATACCCATGGGCAAAACTGTCATCCCTAAACTGGACAAAGAAAACCCACACACAAAAAGTCCAAAAACTGTGAAAATCCAGACAAAAAAGGAAAAAAGACATAAAAAACGCATTAGCTGCTAGAATTGTGCACCCGCCGGTTGTGCTGAGCCTAAGGCCAGGGGGCGTACCTCTCTCCGCGTGGGCGGGCCCATTAAAATGTATCCAGGAGTTCGAAAGTTAGTTTTGGAAATTACCAGAAGCTTTCCAATCCTGTTTTGGGAAAGTTCTAGAATCATCTCAGCCATTTTTTATTTTTTTATTTTTTTCTAGATCAATTTTGATTGTTTTTACCTTTATTTTATTTAATTTTTTCTTTTTTCTTTATTAATTTCCTTTCCTTTACTTTTATTTTTCAAATTTATTTTTCAAAATGCTCTAACTGTTTTTATAAAGTGATCAATTTCAAGTTCATGACCTTTATTTAATATTGATGAACGTTTAAAATCAATGAAATTTTATCAAACTCCGTCAAGTTTTTTTTTCTAAATTGGAGATTGTTTTTCAAAATTGTTGAACTTTTTTCTATATATTAAACTCTTTTGATATTTGATGAACTTGTTTAAATGTGATGATTTTTTTGAAATTGGTGAACTCTTTGTTAAGTTTGTGATTTCTTTTCCAAATCCGTCAATATTTTTGAATTCAAAGTGTTCACATTTTTCAAAAATAGTTCAGAATTTTCATTAAATGATCAAAAAATTCAAATCTCTTAATATTTTGAAATTTTGACTATGTTCCAAATTTCATTCCAATTTTCGGAAAATGTTCGTTTTTTTAAATAGATTTTTTTGAATTTTCGAAAATTGTTCGCACTAAAAAATATTCTGTGTATTTTTATTTTCATTTTTTTAGTTTTAAGAAATTTTTTATTGCCATATAAATCACATTTTCTCAAAAACATCAGGACCTAAAATAATTGTTTTCATTTTAAAAAATATTTGAAAATTTAATTTTGTTCAAAATTTTCAAAAATTGTTGCGAAAAAATGCCAAATGTCGATGCTTCAATGTGTTCTTAAACATTTCAGGATTCATGTAAATCTCCAAAAACCATTACTTTTATTGTCTATTAGCAGGAGTTGTTGAGTATGAGGTCCCAAGTTCAATTCCTCCCCATCAGGCCATCCCAATGTGTTTTTCACCTTTTTGTGAGTCGACCCAGTCGCCTGCCTCTTGTGTGTCGCACTCCTATGTGATGCACCATGCATTGATGGGTGTTGAGGGCCCATATTGACAATCATGACATCTTTTCTTGTAAGTGGCAGACGCATATCCTTTCTTTCTTAAATCACTATTCTGTGAAAATAGATTATTCCATGAATTCCTCAAAAACGACCCAGAATCACATATTTTCGCTGGGCTAGCTAGTCTCTTTACACTGTAGTTTTATTGTCTTCTACATTTTATATGGACGAATAAGGTTGGCCTTTTTAACGCTACCATTTGCTTTGTCTTATTTGAATCACTTATTTTCCTAGTTTCCGTTGAGCGACTTTGTTGAATTATATATTTGGTCATGTTTTCAAGCCCTGTTATGTATATATTTTTAACATAGTTAGTTGACCGCTTAGTTGAGGTATGCGGCTTATTTATTTGCCGGTAATATCCGGGGGTGTAGCAATTGGGGGTTTGAGATGATTTTTTATTTATACGTATCTTTATAGAGTGAAATTTTTGTGAAATTAAATGTTTAACTGGTCAAGAAACTCAAACTTTGTAATCCCAAGAAAATACTTTGTAAAATTAATGACAGTTGCATATTTCAAAAAATGTGCAACCGGCCACATGTGAATTTCACAACTATATTGTTTCCACAAAATCAAACTCCATCTATAGTTTCTTGATATGTTCTTTCTTCCAATGCACCCTCACATTTTTGGCCATGTATAACGATATAATCTCAAAGTTTTTTGGTTTCATATCCTCTCTTTTCCATTTTGTTGTTAACAACATCACTATATCCTTTCTTTTCTATGTTGTACTTCTATTGTAAGAGGATATTTTTTCACCAAAAATAGTAGGAAAAGCCCTACTGTAATTTTATATAACGAGCATAAAAGTGCAAAAAAGGGGATATTTATATAGGAGAGAAGGGGGTGAAGTGGGGTTTTTGAAACTTCTAGATTAGCTAATCTTCTGTACATTTGATCTTCTACAATTTTCTTTGTCTCCATCATGAAAAACGCTGATGTATAGGAAGTGAAGCTAGAGGCAATGACTTTCGAGAATTTTTACAGAACTTTAGGGTATTGTTTTTAAAACACTGTACAGACTATATACTTGCAAGCAACGCGCGCACACATACAACCTATCCCTATAAGCACCTCCGAGAGGCTGGACCGACAAATCTTGAGATTCACAAAGTCACCACGAGGACCCTGTAGTCGATGGAAATGCCATCTCACAGTGTATGATTATGGCCAGAAAGTGTGGTAAATCCAAGAAAATGCGAGCATCCTTTCCAAGCTTAAGACTTGAACTAGGGTTACATGCATTGCTTAATTGGGTGATATACTTTGCTTAATCATTCAATAAAGTCGAATGGTTACACGCGTTTGTGTATTGTACTGTATTACTAGTGATTAATAAGAACATTTCCCATCCCATAAGATTATCAACATATCCAAACAAAGCTACAGAGCAAAGAATGTGTTTATATACAAGCCTTGCACCTGCTGCAGGGATGTCAACCGGGTCCCGTTTAATCCCGTTTAAACCCACTATGTAATCTAACAGTTTAAAATTTTGTTTTTTTTCCAGAAAAATGAACTACGAAGCTAAGTAAAGCTAACTAAACGGGACTTGCGGACACCATTTATTTGCCATTTACATCAGAAGAGGATATATTTCAGACAATGGCCCTGATGGATGGATCTGGCCGTGACGTACCCTAGAATCAGCACCAAGTACCTGGCGACCCAAGAAAAAAAGGAGGTGGCCTGCTTGACACTTGTCCGTGAACATGTACCTTTCCGTTGAACTGTCAAGGCGCAGTACTACGTCTTGTACGTGGTCCGTGTACTATTCCCCTTATCTTCTTCCTTCAGGTAAGTATAAGTACGTTCGATGCAAAAAAAAAAGAGTATAAGTACGTAGGAGAGTACGTACTTGACATGTTCCTCCAAAACTGAATCCAACAAAACTACAATCCAAAACTGAAACTTTCAAGGTGCGTACTACATTCTCGAGCCTCTCGATCGAGTACTCTCGATCCGCCACTTTAATTCCGCAGGACTACTAACTAATTAGAGAGAGACTGTAATATGCTTAGAGAGATACAGTAAAAAGTAAGCATGTCACTCGTGCATGCATGAAAACTTACTACTACTAGTAGTACTAGTACGTAGTAATAGTGCTGCTAATTGAAAGAGCCTAAGTACATGGATGTGAGCATCCGCTAAGCTAGGGCACCGAAACAAGCCACTCTTCTTCACGATCTTCTACTATGATCGATCGATCGAACTCACGAAGCAAACACTACCTAGCTAATGGCCGACTGGGCACAGCAGACCACTGAGTACGTAAGAGGCTAAGATCGAGCAATGCCGGTGCATTTGCTTCAGTGTGAGAGGAAGCTGAAGGGGGAGTAGCCGTTGTCGGAGCCCTGCGACGAGGCGACCATGTCGTGGCCGCCGCCGTTCGCGGGGGCGAACCCGCCGTACGCCGCGTCGGCGCCGCCCCAGAAGCCGGCCACCATCGACGCCAGGTCGTCCACGTCCTCCCGGAGGCCCAGCCCGTAGGCGTCGGCGTCGGACACGGAGTAGCGCCGCGCGTCCTGCAGGTCGCCGCCGCGGGGCCGGAGGCAGCTCTCCGGCACCACGCTGCTCAGGTACCCGGAGTTGTCGTCGGCGCTGGGGAAGAGGAAGTCGTGGCCGCCGCTGCCGCGCACGTCCATCGGGCTGCTGGCGCCGTGATCCGCGGCATTGAGCACCGGCATGGAGCACTCGCCCGCGCCGGCGCCCGGGCCCTGCTGGTGGTAGCCGTGGCCGTGGCACGAGCTGCCAATGTGCGGCGCCGCCGCGCCCGCGCGCTGTTGCCCGCCGTACGGCATGGTGGAGGACGCGTAGGCGGCGGGCTGCTGCTGCGCGTGGAACGGCGCGAGGAAGGGCGGGTAGTTGTTGTAGGCGGCGTGCGCGTAGACGAAGTTGGTGCGCGCCTGCGCGCCCTTCATGGAGAGCGCGGCACGGTCGTAGGCCAGGGCGGCCTCCTGCGCCGTGTCGAAGGTGCCGAGCCAGTGCCGCTCCTTGGTGGTCGGGTCGCGTATCTCGGCCGCGTACCGGCCCCACGGCCGCCGGCGCACGCCCAGGAAGCGCCCGGGCTCCTGCGCGCGCCGCCTGCCACGAGGCGCCGGCCGTTCGCTCGGCGACGACGGCGGGGACGGCTGCGGCTGCGGGTGGCCGGCGATCGGCTTCGGCAGCGAATGCTCCGAGAAGGCCATCATCTGGGAGGCCTGGCCGCCGCCGCTGCTGCTGCGAGAGCTCATGGCACAACTGAAGTGATGCTGGCTGGCTACTACACTACTGCTCCTGCCTAGCTTGAGCTCTGAGGTGTGAGCTAGCTAGCTTAGGTTGAGGAGGTGGTTGCTGAGACTGTGAGCTTCTAGTGTGTAGTGCTCACTAAGGAGGGAGGCAGGATGGTATTTAAATGGGGAGCTCGGGGGAGGGAGAAGCTAGAAGGAGTGAGAGGCTGAGAGCACTGTGGATGAGATGGCGACCTTGGGTAGGGGAGGGGAGTGACATGCATGCGCTGCACTGCACCTGCTCTTGTTTAGTTTAAGAGGGTGTTTGTTTTCAAGGACTTAAAAAAGTCTCTATAAGTCCCATCTAAATCAAACAGGAGGGACTTATAGGGACTTAAAATGGCCGTTTGGGACTTATGAAGGAGGGACTTATAGGTACTTATAGTTGTAATATGGTCTTATAGGGACTTATAAGTTCCAGGAACCAAACAGGTAGGGACTTTTTAGGGACTTGAGACTTATAAGTTGGGACTAAAAAAAGTCCTAGGACTTACGAACCAAACAGGGCCTAATTCTAGGAGTAAAAGGAGGGAATGGAAAGCTCACTCCAAGTTTGCGAGTTTGTATGTATGCACCTTGTGTTTGGATTTGTGTGCCCTAACCTTAGGACCAAAGAGAAGAGGGGAATGTTGTGCCGGTCAAACATATAGCTATATATGTGTGTGTATGTGTTGCTAGAAAAATAGTTGGAAGTTAGAATGTTCTACTCTTAGGGCTTGTTTGGTTTCAATAAGTCACCTGACTTAAAACCAGTGACTTATAAGTCACGCATGTTTGGTTGTCACCTGACTTATAAGTGACCTGACACACCTTTCCACACCAATCAACATCATGCAGGTGATGGGACCCACGCAAAAGAGGGTCACTTATAAGTTTTAAGTTGGGGGTGGAGCAACTTATGACTTATAAGTTGGGGTGACTTATAAGTCGGGTCTGTTTGGCAAAATAAGTCACTTTTTTCACTTTTCGACTTATAAGTTGGTGACTTATTTGGAACCAAACAGGCCCTTAGTTTTCATGCACACTTCATTTATGAATATCATGCATGCTACAATCCTTGCAATTAAGTATTAATTAGTGTCAGTTTCAGATATGACTATCTTTGTCATGATTCTAGTTCACTCCAAATTAATCAACCAACATATGAGTATATGACACACTGATTGTGAAGGCAGAGCCGATTGAAGCCCCTGCCAAGACAAACACTTTAATTATTAATGGTCCTACATGCATAGCTTGTTGTGGCATCTATGTTAGTTGGGCATACTGCCTTGCATGCTTTGATGATTTACTACTGAGTACCAAGTATTGCAAACTAATAAGATGGTGTAAAGATGCCTGCCACTGACAAGAAAAGAAGGGAAAGAGGAGAGCTTACCTACCTATGCATCAAGCCTTTTGAAGAATTGTAATCTATTTGTTTTGAAAGAGACAATTGCAATCTATGCTCCAAGATACTAGTACTACAATAGCTATTATGATACATGCCAAAATGCTACACAATTATGTGCTTTTTTACACTCTGACCATATGGCTTTGCTTTCTTATGTGTCCATGTGCTTGCTTGCGCAATACGTGCAAACTAGAATGAACATAGGAGAAAGCTGCCCCTTTGTCTTCCCTAAGAGCATCTCCAACAGGCGTGCTTCGCCTCGGCGCGGTATAATTCTTTTACAGCATTAAAATAGTATTTTTGTGCGCGGGAGCGACGAAGAGGTTTTCCAGATGCACAAAAATACAGCGCCCAATCCGGCGGCCCCACCTGCAGCAACCCAGATTTTGCAGCGCGCATAATCCGGCGCCCAGAATTTGCAGGCTGGGATACCGCTTTTAGCACGTGCGCTAAAGTTTTTTGTGCGTACTCTGGTTTTTAGCACGTGAGGCATTTTTTGACGCCTGTTGGAGATGCTCTAAAACATTAACCACAATAAGTTCATCAACATATGCTGGTGATGTTCTCGACACGAACATACGAGTAAGTACAACTTTGTCTTCGCTAAAACATTAACCGATTCGACCATCGGTTCCATTAATAATAAACTTAATGAACTACACAATTGTTATATTTTGAAAAATATTTCTCGTAACAATCTAACGTTATAGTTTCCATATCATCGATCTAAATAGTCTTGTGTGTATCATCAGAGGTCAAAGTTAATCCGCCTTGACCACTCAGATTCTAGAACATATCACATTGCCTTCTCTTGCATGTACTAAGAAACATTCAAATGGAGTGGTTAGCTTGCCCTCAAAACAAGATAAAACAACAGTGTGAGATGTGTACAAGGCACTCTTTCTTATGCCACCACTTCCTGTTAATTATGCTTCTTTGTTTCCATGCATGCAACCTTGAGTGACTCTCACATGAGGTGAGGGCCCTCTTTGACTCCTTTTCCCTAGTGAAGCTTTGCTTTGTCTGCATGAGCTAGACAAATGCTTGGACAAGGATCATTATCCCTACAAACCCATTGGATTTATGCGGATTCTTTATTCCTAATGGACATTCTACGAATTAGTGCGCATGTGCGTGCCGGTGCCGCGCTTCAAACCAGAACAAATCGAAAGGAGTGACGATATTAAATCAGGAAACAAGAGAACTATCCCTTTCATGTCTGTCTAGAACCATTCTCTAGAGCCTAATCCATGGCTTTATGGGGTCAACAAAGGACATTTAG